CCGTGGTACCTTTTGGGGGAGCTCTGGTGCTTACCTCAAGTGTTGCTTCCTGGCTCTAGTTCACATCCCTCAGCCTGCTAGCACAGATCCTTTATACTGCTGGTACAGACTTTCTAGCTTCCACCATTGCCCCTTGGGCATGCCCAGCACAGATCTGTGAAGTGGACCTGCATGAGACTTTGTTGTGGGCTCTAGGCCTCCAGTTGGCCTAGTGGGAAGCATTGTTATGAGCTCTAGATTTTCAGCTGAACTCATGCAGGATATTAGAATCCTGGCCCTCAGCTAGATTCTTTGGTCTTTAGTGTGTGCAGATTTCCTTTTCTTGTGTATGATTGTTTGGGTGATTCCTTATAAACTAATGTTTTAAAATATGTCCTGTATTATATCATTCCCCTTGCAAAAACCCCAAACCATGACACAGATGTTAAAATGTGTCTCTACCAGTTGTATGGCTTGTAAATCATTCCATCTGTTTACAAAATTAAAATGAGCAAGGAATTCAGTGAGTCTCTCTAGGTGCAAGATTCAGCTAAAAAAGAGAACATTAACTGACAATTAGTAATGAGAGTAAGAAAAGCTGTTCAATCTGGAAAAAATACTTAATATGTTCACATCTTTTGGTCAGGTTAGATCAGTGCAACTTGATAGATTTTTGACAGTGTCACAGCAGAAAAACAGGCAGAAATAAAAAGGGAAAGGGCTTTATTATCTTGGAGGACATGGAGAGAATCTGGGGAAGATGAGGAATTCTCTGGATTGGAACAAAGAGAGGCTGAGGCTTTTATGGCCCTTTGCCAGAGGTGGGGCTTGGGAGGGATGTTTAGATAGACCTGAGGAGCTGATTGGGCCTTCCCTGAGGTGGTGGGAAAGGTGACAGGAAGTTGCACCCTGGGCTGAGTGGGAGAAGAAGGGGGAGGTGGTCTCTGGGAAGAGAAGCTATTATTTTAAGGGCTTCAGCCATATTAGATGACCACCATAATAATTCAGCAATTCATACTAGGGCCAGAACCTATCACAACTCACTTGATAGATCAACAATATTGTAAAAGATGGGGTAACATGATGCAGAGTCCTATGCTTAAATTAGCATATAATATCCTATTATAATCAACCTGTAAAATGCTGAATCCATTAAAATAACATCCATCTTATCATAAAACAAAAGTTAAACTATTTTTGGTGCATATCCTTCTCCAAAGTGCACAAGTCACAAAACCTTCATATTATGCACTTGATCAGTGTGTACAGTACAGATAAAGCAGACACCTCTGGTGTAATTTATTTTTTAATATGTAAAAACACATGAAGAAAAAGAAAGTAAGCTGTGGACATTGGTAACTAAATACTGCTTTTTTTTCTTTTCTTTTTTCTTTTCTTTTTTCGGAACCAGGAATTGAACTCAAGTTGAGGCAAGCACTTATTCTATTGAGCTATCTCCCCAGACCCTAAATACTGCTTTTCAAATGATCTAGCTAGTTAAACTTACTAAATAGTCTAAAAATAAAAAATCTGTTTTCAACATGAGCTCTTTTTGAGACAAGGTTTTACTTTGTCTCAAAGTACTTTTTACTTTCAGGCTGGCCCTGAGCTCTCTCTACAGTCTAGGCTGATCTCAAACTCATGAGGATCCTCCTGCCTCAGTCTCCTGAGAATGGGGATTACAAGTATGTCACTATGCCTGGCCTTGACTAGAAATTTTAATTCTAGCAGAGCTAAGAATTTGCCTGGGCATACAATTCTGTCACCTGGGCGTGGGTAGGATACCAGCCCTTCACACATCCTATACTTTAGAAAGCAGACTTGACTCTGGAGTATTCACCTTAATTACAGTCTGAATTTTCCTTGAATTTTAGATGGCCTTTGTCAGCTACCAGCTGTAGTGCTGTGGCAGAGACATCAAAATGACGCTCAGGATTTGGAGGCAGATGTATTTTACATCAGTGGGCCTGATAGGGATTCAGTGAGTCATCAAAATATCAGGCTCCGATCTTTGGTAACCTAAGGCTTATGCTTGCAAATAAGAAGTACAGAAACAGAGTATTTGGCAGTTATTGATTGGTTATATCTTGTGTCATTATTATTAACTGGCTTAAAAGAAGATTACATCACATATGTTGCAAGTATGCAAGTTCAAACACGGGGCAAGCCAGAAGTTATGGGAAACAAGTGCGTGAGATAATGTATGGGTTCAGGGCATAGTCAGTGAGATAAAGGAAACATGTATTTGCCACTGGTGGAAGACAGAAAGACAGATCTGCTCGGGAAGTAGCTAGTTGCAGGAAATTTAACTTTAAAATGTTAACTCTTTAATTTCCTCTTCAGTAGCAGGACGGCTTCACTCATGGTAACTATGCTCTCAATATGAGTGAGAGGCACAATAGAAACCATACTGTCCATCTTGCTTCCTGATGAGGTGGCATCAGTAACAATCTAAACCTCAATACCTCAATCAATGAACTCCAGAGCAGTTTGTTGCATGCATCCATGAGTCTCTACAAATAACACAATACTCATAACTCCAGAAATGTCTCCTAATGCTGCTTTTACTTCTGCAAATAGCACAGCAAACTAGACTTTGGAAGTACTAATACCACACTTATTAAGTCAATACCTTGAACAGTGCATCAAAGGACTTTAAGATTTTGTTCTATTACAATAACTGGGATGCCTATAACCCAGATCCCTCACAACAATCTTGGCCCTATGCTTACAATATCCCCCAACTACTTGATGGCTATTGTGAAACTTTGCTACACATCACAGTGTTGCAGGCAGCCTAAGTTAGATAGAAATATTGTAGGTAGTTAGACAGGGACAGGCCCTCGAAGGGGATGATAAAGACCAGACACCTTACTGGGAAGATTCTCCTGGTGTGAGTCAGACCTAAAGATCAAACAAATGCTGACCTCCCTAAAGTTGGCATCCAGGATTGCTCATTAGTCCAAAAGAATCATTGACTGAAGGCCACCAGATAAGGTCGCCCACTTGCTATTAGACTCGCTACCCCATTTGGTCCTAGGCCTAATAAATTTTATCTGAGCAATGGTGCTTGTAATCCCCTTGGTTGACCATAGTTTTGTCCCACCCTGTATCTGCCTAAGCGGGACCCCTTTGTCTCTACCTTAGCCCCACATGGTTTTGTCCTATAAAAATAACCTGAAGGAGACAGCTTCTTGGGCAACCCGCTCGGGACGCCCTTCTGTCCCTCTCCAACAGAAGCTTTCCTTTCCAATAGAGTTTTACCTTCAGCCTCCGTTTGTTCCTAAAATTCATTCTTCGGTTTTAGAGAACACAAACTCATTCAGGCCAGGTTGGGAATTTCACGTCCCTATATCAACAGCAGAAAAACACAGGACACCTTTCATGCTAAACAAGATATTAATCAAGAGTGTCACAGTATCACATAACTCCAGGGAATACTTGCCTCCGGGCAATATTAAAGTATAAAGACAGAGAAGTATAACTTTTAAGGACAGAACACAGGGTGCTTATGGCTTAAAGTCCTCAGGTTTGCCTGCCTCAACACCACAAAATGCATTTAATTAGCTATCATATGCCTCTCTTTGCCGTGCATTCACTTGGCTTCGAATAAGTGAATCAAGAGATACAGTGAGAGGAAGCCTTGCCCTTGAAGCTAGCAACCTTATTCCTAATTTCTCACATGTTACAACAGCAGGGCCTCCATCTCCTGTGCTGTGTCCTGGCCTGCCTGGCCTCATGATGCTCTCTCAGATTTCTCTGTGGTGAATTAAGTGTGGAACTGCATCGGCAGACTCGCGACTCAACTGGGAAGAGCAAAGCACAGACGACCCACCGAGTCCAGTAAGAAGACTGGAGCAGCCAGGCCCTGGGGAGGCTGAAGCAGGAGGATCACAGGGAGCGCAAGACCAGCCTGAGGTACACAGTGAGTTCAAAAAGAGACTAAATTGTATAGCAACAGGCTGTTATAAAACAAAACAAGACAGAAGTAGCTCTACAAAGTCAGGGGTAAACTGTCCTTGAATGCAGATCAGCATTCTGGGAGACAAACTGGTCAAGAAGTGTCAGGGTTTCAATCTCCCATTTGAGTTGCAAGAACACTGGTGAGGATGATCTCCTTCTTTTTCTCCTTCTCCTTCTCCTTCTCCTTCTCCTTCCCCTTCCCCTTCCCCTTCCCTTTCCCCTTCCCCTTCCCCTC